TCGAATTGCAGTGTTGACGGGGAGGGACTGTCCCTTCCCCAGTGAGCCTGTAGCACATGGGTCGGCAGGCTGGGACTGTAGGGGGTGCCAGAAGAATTCTTTAGAATTTTATCCTGGAAAGTTGGCTGAGTTTTGTAGGCTCAAAATAAACATTTTCTCTGATGTCATTCTCCACACCAGAAGAAACAAGCACTTACATTGCCTAAAGCTTTACACAGGACATGGCTTAACCCTGACTGCATGTATCACAAGTAGTCATTTTTAAAATTGTGCAGCTATTTTAGAATTTCTTGCCTGTTGTGGGAAACGGAAGTATGAATTAATTTAAATGCAGAAATGTGTGTCGAACATGAAAGAATGTGAATGGGGGAGACCAGTTAAGCATTAGCTAAATGACAGGGAGCACAGATAGGAATGACAATTGGAGGCAGAATAACTGTAATTGGTGATTTAAGTTGAAGAGAAGTTGAGATTTTCAAATTTTGCAGATGTAATTTTAAGTGACTTTTTTCCCCCTTTGGTTAGTGAAGGTACTAGGGATTGAACCCAGAACCTTGTGCAGGCTAAGCATGCATTTTACCACTGAGCCATGCCCCACCCCCTGAGATTTTCAAATTTTGATGGCTTCAGTTTTCCCAATAAAACAGGAAGGCAGGATCAGGGTGGTGTTGCAACCCTGGAAAAGTGCCAAGCTTCTGTCTTATGGGGAAAATGTAAGGAATTGAATGGGGATATCTATGGGACGGTCCAAATCCCAGGAAATATCAGAGAACAGATATTTGAGTGGGACCAGCCAGGTTAATTTTGTGAATTTTTTTTTCAGCCTCCTTTGGTATATAGCTCAGGAGAACAAATGGACAAAAGAATTGATCGAACCTACTAATTTTTTTTGTTTACACAAATAGCTACCTGGTTTTGTTCTTTTCTCAAATTTAATAATTCTCTGGTTTTCTCAGCCTAGAGGTATTTGTGGATAATACTGCATAAAAGTTTAAAACTAAGTGCTCTGATAATTTTAAATATGATAAATATATGATGAAAAAGATGAGCTTGATTCTTTATCTATATTTTTTGATAAAAATATTATAATTTCATTTTAGTTCTTGTTATGGTTTTCTAGTACTTTTAAAACTTGGGATCTATCAAAAATGTTGAATTATTCTAAAGATAATTTTTACTATAAAATTATGATTTGTATGGGTTTGTAAGCAAGTTACAGAGAATAATAGTTTATAACTACAACTTGAGGATGTTCTCCTGTTTGCTCTTTTAACCTTTGTTGAATTTTTGTTACAGTTTTCTGAATTTCCGGATCCCATGTGGGGTTCAGATTATGTGCAGTTGTCCAGGACGCCCCCTTCCTCAGAGCAGAAATGCAGCACTGTGTCTTGGGATGAACTAAAGTCCATGGATTTACCCTCCTTCAAACCTGCCTTCTTAGTCCTCTGTCGAGTCCTTCTGAACGTCATACACGAATGTCTCAAGTTAAGATTGGAACAGAGACCTGCTGGAGAACCATCCCTCTTGAGTATTAAGCAGGTTTGTTTCAAAAAGTGTATAAAAATATTGAGCATTATTGTATCTTTCTATAGGCTCATAATTTTTATTTGTAGGATTTTCCCCCTAATTGTTGCTAATAGTGAAAAACGAGTGAATGTTCGGGTTTTTAAGCTGTTCTTCTTCGGGTAATTTCAGATGTTCTTTTTACATGCAGTCTTCAAAGGTAAGACTGTGGTTCAGCCTTACTGTCTTCCACTTCCTTGTTCTAAAAGGACATGAGAGTATGGTGCGGATATGACTCTCCTGTTATCACCCGTCTGTGAAGACTGGGGACTTAAAATTCAATCGTAAGAGAGAGTTTCAGTTCCTTAAATTTCTTCTTTTGTCTTTTTTTAATCAGATAAATGTCTTTAGAGTGTGCAGGGTGGAGGTGTTGGGACATTCTGTTTGCTTAAGCAGCTGTATGGTTTAGACAGTGATGACCACCTTGAATTGCAAGTTGTTGAGGGGGAGGGATGATAAACTGGTGAAACAAGGTGGAGTTTACTTTTTATTAATGGGGCTATTGTGGCGCTTAAACAGTAATTTATGTTAAAACATTCTGAAAAGTGAAAAACCAATACTTAGATTAATGTAGCATTGCTAGGATAAAAATTAAATAGAAATTTTGGCTTTGATGCATTTGGACTGAGTTGTTAGCACCTAAATGACATCTTTAACATAGAAATCTGTGTCTGTGTGACTTGAAGAAAGCACTTTTTAATAGATTTAACTCTAGCCAGTGCTCTCTTACTGTGGGTAATTGTTTTTAAAATGTAAATATTCTGTAACCTCAACTGAGTAACAATAAATTAGTGAAAATAAAAGTATTTAATATTACTTCTTTTTGTAAAAGTGATTCATGTTTATTTTAGAAAGTTTGAAAAATACAGAAAATGATATACAAAAATGAAAGTTACCCTGTTACTCTGCCATTCAGAGATGACCACTATAACATTTTGGTGTATTTCTATCCATTTGTCTTTTCTGTGTGTGCATATTTCATACACATATAAGTTAAAAAAAAAGGAAAGAAAAGAATATATGAGTCTTCACCTTAAGTATTTTTCAAAAACAAGACTTCAGATGGCTACGATAATGCTCTGCTGTGTAAGTGTATCATAACTTACTTAATCCCCATTGTTTGGAATAACATCATGATAAATATATTTGCATGTAAGTTTTAGTCTGCATCTCTGACTTTTGCTTGAGTATAAAACAAAAATTAACTAGTGAGTCACGTATCTGTGATTCTAGGAAGTTGGTACCAGTTTCTTTCCCAGGAGCGGCACTGTGGTTCCTTTTGTGTTTTGATTAATACGTATTAAAACGAATGTGACTGTGATCTTGCACCACAGTCCCTGTGGAGAGAGCGTCTGTCCCAGCCTGTTGCTAATGAGAGGCTTTCCAGGTCCTGGCATTTCAGCTTCCCTCCCTCTCACAGAACCTGCTGGGCCGACACGTTTAGCTTTTACTCATCCTTTTGTTTTATTACATTTTCCCTCCTTGATTCCCATGTAATTTCATCAGATTAATATTGTTTGTTTTTGTGATTATTGGAGTTTTTTGATGGTAAAAGCCACAAATCACAGTGGGTAAACTATGCTTTGGCTGTCATGCTCTGTGTGGTGTAAGTGTATTTGAATCTTTGTTGTGGTTTGGTTGAAAATGACCAGGTTCACAAGGAAATTTCTCTCTCATATCCCTTGTCCTATAATGTAAACTAGTAGAATAGATCTTTTTCTGTGGAATTTATTTTCTCTGAAAGTTTATTTGTAGGAGAATATATTTTAGAAGATCAGCTTTCTAGCTATATAGTATTTTCTATGTATGTTCATGTCTACAATATTAAATACTTTCATTTTCACTTATTTGTTGTTATTCACTTGAAATTACTAAGATATTTATGTAAAATGAACTGATAAAGAATCTGGAAAGTATTTTCGGTTTTTCAGAGGCAGGGTTCCCCTTTCCTGAGTGTTCTGGGGATTTCAGTGGGAAGGGCGTGAAAACCGGTCAGTGATTTGCTCAGAGCGTGTGAAATGACTGAGCTTGTGCCCATTCCCTGCAGCTGGTGAGGGAGTGCAAGGAGGTGCTGAAGGGCGGCCTTCTGATGAAGCAGTACTACCAGTTCATGCTGCATGAGGTCCTGGACGACCTGGAGAAGACCGACTGCAACATCGACGCCTTCGAGGAGGACCTGCACAAGATGCTGATGGTCAGGACAGTGCGGAGGGGTGTCCTCACGTCTGTCTGTCTGTGTGTCTGTATGAAGGAGGGGGTCATGTTTTTATGTTTGTTTTAGATTAACTTTGTTTTTCCTAAATCCACATTTTAAAAAATCTTCAGTGGTTTTTAAGTTAGAATTTTTGACAGAGCTTAACCTAGTTCATTGTTTAATAGTAGGATCTCATAGCAGAATGGCCTAGAGGTAGAATCCTAGTCTGGCCCTGTTTTGTTGAGCCATCTGTCATCAGCCCCTCTGTCACACCTGCTGGGCGTGCGCTGGGCGTCAGCAGTGAGCGCTGAGGACTCGGTCCGGGGAGAGCTGGGCATAGTGGACGCCACCACCTGAGTGGTGGGTGCTGAGATGCACAAAGGCTTGAGATGGAGCTGCCTGGAGACATCCAGGAGCTCCTTACGTGACGAAGCCAAATCGTAAAGATGACTCGAGGAAGCTGCAGAACCTGGCGCATCTGAGAATTGGAAACACTGTGATTTGGCAGGAGCAGACTTACTGTTACTCCTCCGCGCAAAGAGCGCTGCAGTCATTTCAGACACGCTGTGCTCGCCTGTGCTTTTCTAACCTGTCCTTTGCTCTCGTTACTCCTTCTGGCTCCAGATGTTGCCTTTCCTCCTTAGCTGCCCATTTAAGGTTTACTTTCAAGTTTTTCCAGACAGTTTTCACTTTTAATGTGCGTTTCTTGATACCTCCTCTGAACTCTTAGAGTGGTTCTAATTATAACTGCATCATTTAATACTTAGTGATAGACCACGTCTCTCTTCTCAGGTTTCCCTAATTAGGCTGAAAGCGGCACAGGCCAGGGGCTCTTATTGAAGTCCCTTTGTCTTCCGTAATGTCTGGTGGAGTGTTAGTCCCTAGTACGTACGTGTTAGGTTCACCAGAGTGTACACAC